GGGCTTACAACAGGCCCATTAAGTAGCTAAAAATTGGGTTGATAATGCTCTCATTAAGTACTGTAGTTGTAAAAACCATGAGAAATGCAGACAAGAATCAAACGGTGTCGTCTTGTCGTTGGAATAGAACAAATTTAGAGCGTATGTGAGATGGGATACGCACAGGACGGTACTTGTTGTCAAGCCACACAGCTGTTCCTTGTGCTTCCAAAATAGCCTGCTTTGTTTTATACATTCCAAATTAGTAAAACAAGTAAAAACCAAATCAAGCAACACAAAAGACTTGATGAGTAGCTACTACTTAATAACCTCTTGATTTGGAAGTTTAAAGATGAAATGTTCAAAGTAAATACGCGCAGCAGATGTCCCCGATATCCTCGCTTTCACCACAAACTTGTCTCCGCTCTGCTCAAAGCAATGAAAATGAATATACATACGAACGTTACACATTGACATGGTATATAATGGTGAGCAATGTTGTAGTAGATGTGGGGACAGGACAGTACACGTAAAGGTGCGAGGAACTTCATAGTTAACTCAGAAAGTGCTAAGGCTTCACCAGAACGGGCTACTTGATCGCAGTTGATACCGATACTCTCTAGAAACTCGTGTCGACCTTTAGTAGAAAAAAACATGTCAAGAAACAAGAGTTTGGTTACAGAACTATATCTTATCAGACTCGGCGATGTTTATATCGATCATTGCTTCCGTTTGGAGGACCGCGAGAGCAAAATATGCCGAAGATAAATGCAAGAGCAAGATCTTGACACATTTACCACTTAAGTCACACTCTCAAGTTTTACACAACCACATTGACAAAGCATATGCCTAAAAAATGTGACTCTAAATTTACTAGCAAAATCTAATAAACCACATTTATACTTCCAATACACTCAAGTTCTACTCAACTACATTCATGAAGTAGAGAGAGATTTCTGTCAAGCATACGATCTGAAACTCGTCTCTTTGTGCAATACAAAACGTCAGGATTTGCAAAGGAATGAAACCAATCTGACCGTGTTGGCAGTAGTTAGCGTAAACAGCATTGTTGACAACACCAAACTGATCCAATTCATAATCGCGAACTTTGAGCTCAACTTCATGGAACCCACTCATTCTGCCAAATCGCGAAATTTTCAATTCAGATTTTTGAATTCACTGAGCTCATCAAGATCGACACTAGATCGCTATCAAGATCTTCTGAATCAGATAAAACTCGACAAGATTGAATCCAAAAAGACCGCATTTTCACAAGTTGAGTGAAAAAAGGAGATTAAGATTGATGAATGTGTTACCCTTTGCCTCCTTTGAGATCGGGCAATGCGAAGGTCTTTGTGCATCGGAGAGGCAAGGTAAGTGGTCGCATCCACGAGCAAGGGAACACCGCCGGTGGACGAAGTAGATCGGGCGACGCTGGAGTCGCCGTGCCGGGAGCCTGAAACATTCGAGTTTTTTTGGAGTGACGACGATGGCCAAAATGTGAATGGGGTAGGTGAGAGCTTTTTAGTTTGGGAAAAGAGTTTTGTATAAAAAATTGTTTTTTTTTTTTTTTNAGTTTTCATTAGTTTCGAAAACATCATCAAATTGGGAATTGAGGTTCAAACCAAGTGTATATGAGTTTTGAATTTGATCCACATTTTGGTTCAAAGGACCACATTAACAATTTTGATTCAAAGGAAGACGAATGATATCAAATTAAGATACATACATACAAATTCTATTTCGAATATGAAAAATCTCATAAACTCCTTCTTATTCGAATCAACACGTAAACGAATTTCCTTTTTAGCTTTTTCAATAAACATAAAAAAGGGCCTTCACTTTGATAAAAAAATTGTTAATGCACAAAGATCACAAAGAAGTAACATTTGTTTCCACGTGAACACATTTGGTTTTCACACACACGATTCATTTCCTCAACGGAAAAAGATTCCGTATCTACCAAATCATAATATACCCATTACTCTCTTTTGACCTTAAAAAGCTTTTCACACACAAAAACATATCCCTATGCATTATTACACACATCTTTGTCCATAAATCCCTCTGGATCAACTTCCTTATACGTCTCCATTCTTCATCACCATATTTATACACAACAAAAGCCAAATGAAAACTCACCCATCTCATAAGAAGACACACACATTTCCAAAATGGCAAACCAAAGAGGGTTACATGTAGTGATGATCATCACTACTTGGCTTCTTTATGCAGCACCTAACATCCATGGTTGGGGAAAAGAAGGTCATACCATCATCTGTAAAATCGCTCAGGTTTTTTTATTTTATTTTTTATACTCATCTTCTTCGTTTTTCGGTTTATGATCAAAACATGTAATAACTAATAAGTGAAGAGAAGAACAGACTAGGTTGGATGAAGCTGCATCAAAGGCTGTGAAAGAGCTGTTACCTAAATCTGCAGAAGGAGACCTGTCAAGCTTGTGTCTTTGGGCTGATCGTGTCAAGTTTAGATACCATTGGTCTTCTCCTCTTCATTACATCAACACTCCTGATGCATGTTCCTACCAATACAATAGTGAGAGTTTTTTCATAATACACCTTTCACATACAACATAAGTGACAGAAGATTTCAAGCACGGTTTCTTACGAGTCTTTTGCCTTTTGTGGGTCTAAAGGGGACTGCAAGGACGAAGATGGAGAGAAAGGAAGATGTGTTGCAGGAGCCATTTACAATTACACCACACAGCTTCTTACCTACAACACTGCAGCTGCATCACAATCACAATGTAGCACTAACATCAATTACTCCATCTTCAATCTCCCTCTCATGTTCCTTTTTTTAAAGCTATTTTTCTTGTTGACAGATAACTTAACCGAGGCCCTGCTCTTCGTGTCTCATTTCATGGGTGATATCCATCAGGTATAATTAAAAATCCGATAAGATATATAAACGGTTTCTTACCCGGATATGTCTGACTAGCATAGTTGTAAAAACGCAGCCTCTACATGTGGGTTTTGCTTCGGACAAAGGAGGGAACACCATTGAAGTACATTGGTACAGAAGAAAAGCTAACCTTCACCATGTAAGAAAACAAAACAAAAAGAGTTCTAACAAACGTATATATAAATTGAGCATCAGATATTATATTACAAAGTTCTTAAAGCTTTAGATTCATACAGATATGGGATTCCAACATTATTGAGACCGCTGAAGAAGATCTCTATAACACCGAGCTAGAAGGAATGGTGGATGCAATAAAAAAGAATATCACGGTACTCATGAAAGGAAAAGAACATTGTTTACCTGTATGCTACAAGTGACTTGTTGACATAGCTTCAATAAAATTGCAGACGGAATGGGCAGATCAAGTCAAGAGATGGGAAAGCTGCACCAAGAAGACAGCATGCCCAGACATGTAAGTCAGATAAAAGATTAAGGTACCTTCATCGTTCTTCAAGCCAGCTAGAACAAGATTTAACTTCCACTTGCTTTCCGTTTCATACAGATATGCATCCGAAGGAATTCAAGCAGCATGTGACTGGGCATACAAGGGGGTAACTGAAGGAGATACTCTAGAAGGTAAAAGAATTCACCCAAAAACTATGATGATTCACAAAACAAAGAAAACTAACAAGAACATAATGTCTTCTTCACAGATGGGTACTTTTATTCACGTCTACCGATAGTGTATCAGCGCTTAGCACAGGGAGGAGTGAGACTGGCAGCTACTCTAAACAGGATTTTCGGTTGAAGCTGAGTTTATAGCATCTTATTGTTAAAAAAAAAACTGCGTATTGAAACAATGAAATTGCATATTGCAAGACCCGAGCACATCAAAGCTCCTTCTTTATCAAACCAAATAAATTATATGCACTCACAAAGTTTGTTCAAACAGTAGCAAACGAGTAGAGCATTATTATCAATATGTTTAAA